TCAGCTGTGCTTGGCCCTTTGTATCATCACACAGATTTTAGAGTCATGTCAGATCACGTAGGCACACAAACACATGCATATCCTCCAGTGTGTGAAGTTACCCCCCCCCCCCATTGTGATTCAGACTGGAATTTCATTTACTCTCTGGTCCTCTAACCTGTGAACATGGTATAATTCTTACTAATTTAGTTCTACTTTAATTATCTGTCTAGTTTTAGAATATTAAAGTGGCGTACATTTGTAGTTGTGTTTTTGATGCTTTTATAAATGGCATCTTTCTTGATCTTTGTTCATTGTTTACTTATAGAAATATTATGCATTTTAAAATATTGACTTTGTATCCAGCAACATTTATAAGCTCTTTTATTCAGTTTTTAAAAATATGTTTTTATTAATTTTCTATAGAGAGAGGAAGGGAGAGAGAAAAAGAAACATTGATGTGAGAGAGATACATTGATTAGCTGCCTCCTGCATGCCTGCTACTAGGGATCAAGTCCACAACCCAGGCATGTGCCCTGATCGGGAATTGAACCGGGACCTCAGTCCACGAGACGATGCTCAGTCCATTCAGCCACACCGGCTGGGCATAAGCTCTTTTATTAATTCAGGTAACTTTTACAGGTTTAAAATATATTTTCCACATAGATTAGAAATGACATTTCATCTGCTGAGGGTAAGATGACAGTTTCTTTTCCTTTCCTGAGAAAGGCCTTCATGCCTTTGTCTTGCTGACTGAGATTTTCAGTGACTGTTGACTAGGAATGGTAACAGCAGGATCTTTGACTCATTCCCTTTCAAAAGGAACATTCTTTTTCTACAGTGGCCGTTAATTATAATGTGTGCAATAGATTTTTTTTCTTGATACTTATTTTTAGGTTAAAGAAGCCCCCTTTTATTCTTTGATGGCTAGGAGGGTTTTTTTTTGTTTTAAATTATGAATGGGTGTTAAATTTTATCAAATACATTTTCTGCAGTATTTGAGAATGTCATATAATTTTGTCCTTTGCAAGTTAAGGTTGATTTCTAATGTTAAAGCAGCTTTCTAGGCTGGTATAAATTCAACTTTGTTATGTTACCAGTTACTGGATTTATTTTGTTAACATACTGTTTCACACCATGAGTGTTATTTTCCTTTCTGTTACTGGCTTGACTCTGATTGGGGTCTCACAGTTATGCTAGCCTCATAAAATTGGTTTGGGAGTCTACTACCTCTTTTTGTGTTCTCTGGAAGAGTTGTGTCAATTGGAATGATTTTTTCCTTGAATGTGAACTGGCCACATTCTAGGTCTGGGGTTTTCTTTTTGGGAACATATTTGACTACTGATCCAATTTCCTTAATGGTTAGAGGACTCTTCAGGCTTTTCTTGAATATTTTACAGAATTTTTTTACAGAGTCAGTTTTTATTAGTTATATTTTGGGGTTTTGGTTATTTTATTTAAATTTTCAAATAGTTTGACATAATGTTATTTGTAATGATGTGATTTTCTTTTTTTTTTGATGCCTGTAAGATCTATGGCAATATCCTCTTATTCTTTTCTGAATATTTTCTTTTGTTATTTGTGCCTTTTCTCTCTTTTGATCAGTCTTCTCAAAGGTTGATTGATCAGTATTGATCACTTTTGGGTTTGTTGATATTCTCTCTTTTTTATTGTTTTCAATTTTTTAAAAATATGGTTTTTAAATGGATTTGAGAGAGAGAGACAGAAAAGTCTGTGAGAGGGAAACACCATTCACCGGCCGCCTCCTGCAGCCCCACTGGGGGTCAAGCCTGCGACCTGGGCACGTGCCCGGACGGGGCTGCGCCAGGGCCTCTTGGTGCGGGCGCCAGGGCCTCTTGGTGCGGGCACCGAGCCACACCGGCTGGGCTTGCTTTCAGTTTTGATAATTTCTTGCTCTTCATCTTTCTTTTATTCCTTCATTTTGGGGAGTTATTTTACCACTCTTTTCATAAAGAAATTTTTCGAGAAGAATCGCAACTCATTATCTGCACCGTCTGTCTTCCTCGGCACAGGCGTTGGAAGCTGTGCGTTTCCCCCACGTTCCGTTTCAGTTGCATCTCGGAAGTTCTGGTTCGTAGTGTTTTTGTTAACATTCGATCTGAAAATTTTATTTCCATTATGATTTAATTTAGTCCCCATGGGTTATTTAGAATTATATCTTAGTTTTAAACAATGGGGATATTCTAATTACTTTGGGGGTTTATGTTTATTATAAAGTGAACATTATCCATATATCAGTTCTTTGAAATTTGTCGAGGTTGTTTTCTCCGCTACTAAATGGTGAAATATTGTTTTAGTGTGCCAAATGTCCTTGGGAAGACTGCATAGCTGAAGTTTTTTTTTTAAAAAAATCCCTTTTTATTAATCAGATTCATATATAACTACCAACTACAGCTTCTAATAAGCATGAGGTAACACTCATACCACATTGGTTGCTAAAATCACAGGGATACATCCAGAATTGTGATTCTTCATAGTTGTGTAACTTTGGTCAAGTTATTGATAACCTCTGTGGGTCTTGGTTTCTTGTGCTTCTCAATGAGATTGAAAGTGCCTGTCTCAGTAATAAGATCTTACAAGGATCTGTATGGTAAGCCATCAAGGTTTCCATGGAGAGGCTGACCATGGGACCAATGGGAAATCTGACTTTTTAAGCCAACGTTTATCAGGGTCATATTATGTGCTGGTAAAGAGGGGGGCCAGGTGAGCATTTAATGTTCTCTGCTGCTTGCTCACCACGTCTAGTGAGTTCACACTTCACCCTTCCAATAGCTCTGCAAAACAGATCCTGTTGTCCACATCCGTTATGTGATGAGGAAATTGGATCTTACTGAAGTTAACTTTTGCATATTCTCACTGAAAGTTGGGAATTGAATTTAGGTCTTCTTTTCTTTTGGGTCACTAAACAGTTTTATTTTACTTTTATTTTTTTATTAAAAAAAATTTTTTTTAATCCTTACCCGAGGACATTTTTCCATTTTTTTGTTCACATAGAGTGGGAGGGAGAGAGAGGAAAAGAGAGAGAGGGAGAAACATTGATGTGAAAGGGACACATCGAGTGGCTGCCACCCACACAACCCAACCAGGGCCCGGGACAAACTGCAACCGAGGTACGTGCCCTTAGCGGGAACCGAACCCGGGTCTCTCTGGACTACAGGCCGACGCTCTAACTGCTGAGCCAAACCGGCCAGGGCTATTTTTAATTTTTAAATAGACTTTATGTTTCAGAGCAATTTTAGGTTCATAGCAGAATTGAGAGTCGATGCAGAGATTTCTCGTGTGGCTCCTGCCCCCACAGCCACACAAGCTTTCTCACCAGCAGCGTGCGGCAGCACATGGTTCACGTGTTGCAGTTGATGAGTCTGCCCTGGCACGCCATTGCCACCCAGTCTGCCGTTCATGTTCAGGATCACTCTTGGTGTGTCACATTCTGTGGGCGGGACGAATGCGTAATGACACGTACCCACCACTGTAGTATGAGAAAGAATAGTCTCACTGCCCTAAAGATCCTCTACGTGCTCCTCCCTCCTGCCCCAGCCCCTGGCAACCACTGTTCTCTTTGCTATCTCTGTAGTTCTGCCTTTTCCAGAACGTCATAGGGTTGTTATCACAGTGTGTAGCCTCTTTAAATTGGCTTCTTTCACTTAGTGATAGGCATTTAAGTTTCCTCTTTGTCTTTTCACGGCCTGCTAAGTAATTTCCTTTTCAGCTCTGAATGCTGTCCCATTGTCTGGGTGTACCACAGTTCGCCGACTGAGGACGCCTTGGCTGCTCCCAAGGTTTGGCAATTAAGAAAGATGCTATAAACATTTGTGTGCAGGTTTTTGTGTGGACAGAAATTTTCAGTTCCTTTTGGTAAATACCAAGGAGCGTGATTGCTGGATTGTATGCCAAGAGTATATTTAGTTTTGTAAGAAATCATTAAATCTTCCAAAGTGGCTGCACCATCTGCATTCCCAACAGCTATGAGGGAGAGGTCCTGGTGCGGCACGTCCTCCCCGTCCTCGGTGTGTCAGCGTGCTGCTCTGTTTTGTCCAGTATTTTGCACTTTTATTTGGTGAAATATTCTAAACATGTCAATAAGGTTGTCAGTAAATCATATTCAAATCTTTTAAATGTACTGATATTTTTGTCTGCTTATTCTATAAGTTACTTAGAAAGATGTATTATAATTGCCCGACTTAATTGTGGACTTTTCTCTTTATACGTCAGTGTTTCTTTTATTTATATATTAGAGGCCATGTTATTAGGTTATTCTTGTTACATCTTTCTGGTGAATTAAGTCATTCTGAAATGACTTTTTATAAAAATCTCCAGTAACAATTAAGCATTAGCCTTAAGGTTTATCATGTCTGATTTTAAATGGTCTATAATGTTCTTTTTAGGCTGTATTTACCTAGTGTGTGTGTGTGTGTGTATTTTTTTCTTTTACCATGATTTAACTTTAAAAACTCTAGTCTAAAAGTAACTTTTTTTTTAATCCTCACCCGAGGACATTTTTCCATTTTTGTTCAGATAGAGTGGGAGGGCGAGAGAGGAAGAAAGAGAGAGAGAAACATCGATGTGAGAGAGACACATTGACTGGGTGCCTCCCGCACGACCTCCCCAAGGCTGGGGACAAATCACAACCGAGGTCCGTGCCCTTGACCGGAACCGAATCCGCGAGTCATTGTTCCGCGGGCTGATGCTCTGACTGCCGAGCAAACTGGCCAGGGCTGAGAGTAACTTTTCAAAAATTGAGCACAGATTCCAATATTTAATGTAATTACAGGAAATTTGTGTTTATATTTATTATCTTTTTCAGAAGTTAGTTAACTTTGTAGAGTATGTTGTTTTCGTGTCATGTGCAAAGTGTCATGTGGGGAGAGACCTTTATACGTAAAAGAAGCTAACAGAAGCGTTCTGTTTAATCATATTGGGAATATTTCTTATTAGGATGAGTTGATTCATTGTTTAAAATTGTTTTTAATCATGTCTTTTTCACTTTTGTAAATTCTCAGCCTTTCGCTGTGGCCTGCAGTTTCTAGGCAACGTGGCCTCCCGGAACGAAGACTCCCAGGCGATCGTGTGGGTGCACGCGTTCCCAGAGCTCTTCCTGTGAGTCTGTGGGCCCGGCCCGGCCGGCGTCTGTACGGGAAGTTCAGCCTGGGAAAGACCAGCCTTTGCTAAGAAATAGCGAGAGTGGTTTTTCCTGGTGGGTGGTGGCCGAGTCAGTACTGGCTGAGAGAGGGCATGAGTGAGTCCTCAGGTTCTGAGAATGTCCTCTGCTCTGCTCGGGTGCTGGTTACACAGGTGTCCGTGTCTAAAAACGTATTGATTTTTGATTTGTGCCTTTTGTTGCATGTCAATTTCACTTTAAGAAAGTAAAACTTTGGGTTAAAATGAGAAATACTGTCCTTAGTGGACACTGATTTATAAGAAAAAAAGCCATAAAACATTGAGGTGTGGGCAGTGAGTTAATCATTCGCGTGTTTATTGAGCACTCCCTGTACGCTCGGCTCAGTGCTGTATGTTTGGGGAGATGTGGAGGACTGTTGGTGTGGACACCGACGGCTCGTCTGGCTCGGTCCGTGGCTTTTCCTGGATCTCCTACTTTGTTCTGAGCAGCCCCGTTAGTTGATGAGAAACTGAGAGAGTGGGAAGGAGAGCAGGTGGAGGAGGCAGGAGAGGGGAGAGGACTAGCGGTGCCTGGAGCAGAGCCTGGTTTCTGACCCTGGCTGTGTTGCCACCGAATGGGTTGATCTTGGTGCTGGCAACTGTACAAGCAGCAGAACAGCTGCTGTTTGAATGTCCTGAGCTGGGCATTTCTGTATATTTTCCCTGTGCTGTGCCCAGCCCTGTGGGGTAAGTGGTGCTGGGACAGGGACAGGCGAGGGAACCAACGCTTAGTGCTGATAAATGGCAGAGCTGGGATGTAGCCCTGTGCTGCTCTCGGACCCAGAGCCGACACTCTGAGCACCTGCTGCCTGAAGTCTTCGCTGCCTCCCCGGTTGCATAGGTTTTTCTGCGTCACCTGCAAATTCTGGTGTTTGCATCACATAACTCCCTCATGTTACTTCTGGCTCATTGAGTATAACTGCTACTCAAGTTCCTGCAGGTAATTAGAGGTAAAGGCATATATATGCCTGTTACCTTTATGATTAATAATAATTGAGCTTAGATGGAAGGAAAGAATTGTGAGATTCAAGCTACAGAAATAAAAATTACCTACTTTATTAATTACTTTTAAATCTTTACCAGAGGATATGTTTTCATTTATTATTAGGAGATAGAGAAGGAGAGAAACATTGATCTGTTGCTTTCTGTACACGCTCCTACCGGGAATCAAACCCGCAGCCTTTTGGTGTACAGGATAATGCTTCAGTCAATTGAGCCATCCAGCCAGGGCTAAAAATCATTTATTTTTGAGAATTTATTTCTGTTAATCTTCACCTGAAGACATTTTTTCCATTAATTTCTTTTAGAGAGGGTAGGAAGGAGTAGGGAGAGAGGGAGAGAGAGAACATCAATGTTGGAGAGACACTGATTAGTTGCCTCCTGCACACACCCTGACCAGGGCCAGGGATTGAACCTGCAACCCAGGTACATGCCCTTGACCAGGAATCAAACCCCCAACCCTTTAGAGCGCAGGCCGATGCTCTGACCACTGAGCAATGCCAACCAGGGTGAGAATTCATTTTTTAAAAATTTGGGTGCCTAGTATCTGCCAGGTTCTGATGGTGGCATACGGATGGGTAACTTAGAGATATTTCTCATACCCAAAGAGCTCTTGCTGTGGTGGGGGGATAAAGGAGTAGGTGAGCACATGGAGTGTAGGAACTGACTGAATCAGATGAGTCCAGGTGTCGTAGAAACCTAGAGGAGAGGCCCTGAGTAAGTGTAGATGCCCAGAGAGGTCATGAGAGTTTCCCTGGTGCTTTACCAGTGTTACCTCAACCTCATAGAGGCCCTGTGAGGTAGGCTGAGGCTCACTATTGTGTTCTATTTTTGTCTCAGAAAACACTGTAAAGGGTTTGGTGACTCCACTCTTGTGTTGTTTCTAAGACAGGTATAACTAAATTTGAATTCCAACTTAGGCTGGTACTGGCTTTGTGTTTTTGGGCAAGTAAAGTCAACACATTTTTATTATCTGAAACATAAGGCTAATACCTTCTCCATAAGAGCATTATGGAGTGTAAGTGAAAAATAAAACTCTGCCGTAGTGCATGGCCCATAGCATAATGGACAGCAGCTAAATTGAGACCTTCCCAGGATCACTGAGATGACAAGCAGATGAATCAGGACTTACACGGAGGCTCTTAGCTCTAGATTTATTTCTTGCCAATATACTGCCTTCTCCTTAGACAGTCTGTTTTTCATAATTATTAATGGGTATTTTCTTTGTCTTGTGACTAATTTTATACTTGCTATTTTTACAGTAAATAATGTACTTGTTTCCGTGTTGTAATTCTTCATTAAATTCTTAAAAATTCAGTATGCACTGAATTTGTTATTGGGATTATTATTATTTATGTGCTGTAATTGTATTTCACCATGTTAAATTGGGCTAACACTTTCATTTCTGTATTTGGAAGGTCTTGCTTAAATCACCCAGACAAAAAAATTGTTGCCTACTCTTCAATGATTTTGTTCACATCCCTTAATTCTGAAAGAATGAAAGAACTGGAAGAAAACCTCAACATTGCAATTAATGTCGTAGAAGCTCACCAGAAGCAGCCCGAATCAGAGTGGCCGTGAGTATTGTGCTAGGAGTGTGACTCTGGCAGATGCTTTCCCCACACAGGTTCTAAGTACAATTTGAATTATATAATTGGACAATAAGTTACAACAGTGCATGTTGACAAATAAGACAGATTTCTCAGCAGACCCTGGAGGCTTTGTGAGAGGTGAAGGGAGGTTGAGCGCCCTCGCAGGCTGAGGAGACGTATGGTGGGGAGGGGGCAGGGCCCTCGAGTGAACAGCACAGCGCGCAGTGGGCAGGCACTCCGGACTGCGCGCCGGGCCCGCATGGCTGCAGTAGGGGTTGATGTGTGTCTTGTGAGCATCGTTTAGGTGAGAAATCAGTCACGTCATCTTTGTGGTTGGTGAACACACTGTAGAACTTTATTCTATTCAAACGTATTGCGGCTTTATTATGGCCTAATATCTGGTCTGTCGTGGAGAATGTTCCACGTTCCGGAGGAGGCTGTGGATTCTGTGTGGTGGTGTGTTCTACAGATGTACTTTAGGTCCTAGTTGATTACAGTGTTCAAGTGTCCTGTTTCCTTGATGCTCTTCTTTCTAGTTATTCATTATTGAAAGTGGATTACTTTTTTTTAATCCTCACCCGAGGATATTTTCCCATTTATCTTTGGACAGAGTGGGAGGGAGAGACTGGGAGAGGGAGAAAGAGAGAGAGAGAAAGAGAGAGAGAGAGACAGACATCGATGTGAGAGAGACACATCAATTGGTTGCCTCCTGCACGTCCCCAACCACAGCTGGAGACCAACTGGGGTACGTGCCCTTGACTGAGATCGAACCTGAGATTTTTTGGTCCGCTGGCTGCCGCTCTAACTGCTGGCCAGGCGGAAGTGGATTACTTTTTATTTCCCCTTCCATTCTGTCAGTTTTTCTTCACTTATTTTGGTCTTTGTTGCAAGGTACATACATGTTTGTAATTGCTGTGTCTTTTGAGGAATTGACACATCATTATACAATTCATCAAACATTTTGTTGTTTTTCTTTATTCGTGCCCTTCTCCTGTTTTCTTTACAGTCGATCTTATGTTTGATTTCCACACAGTGGTCAGTGTGTCTAGGGCATAGATTGTCTCAGGCGGGGACCTCGAGGTGCCAGAAATCCCACTTGCATTTCACAGGCGTGAACTTGCCCTGTTTTGGCCTCTCTTAGTGTGAATGTTATTGTTCTGTTGAAATTATGCCTAATTTTAAAGTAATTTATATTTCTGAACATTTTTTTATTTGAATTACCATTTGCACACAAACAGAAGTTGGTACAAAAATAATTACGTCATTGTGCTTGACTTAGAAAACCTCCCTCAGTATGAAGTGTTTTTACATGACGGGTGAAGCATTACAGTAGGTTACTAAGAGACATTTCAGTAGCTGAATTCTCTTTCTTTTGTTAAGTCTCTTGAATCTGTATTTTAACCATCTAATTTTTTTGTTGTTGTTGTTATCCTCACCCGAGGATATTTTTCCATTTTTTGTACAGATAGAGCGGGAGGGAGAGAGAGGAAGGGAGAGAGAGAGAGAAACATCGATGTGAAGGGACACATCGAGTGGCTGCCACCCTCACGACCAACCAGGGCCAGGGACAAACTTCAACTGCGGTACGTGCCCTTAGCGGGAACCGAACCCGGGTCTCTCCGGACCGCAGGCCGACGCTCTAACCGCTGAGCCAAACTGGCCAGGGCTAACCATCTAATTTTTTTAGTAGCATGGAATAAAGGGCAAAAGATCATGAAGGGCAAGAATATAAGCTCGACTTCAGAATAGTTCAAGTTGAAGTTATCAGAGGTCACTGGATGGGGTTACACAGGGAAAAGGATGGGAAGCAGTAGTCAGCTGTTGTCTTCTGCAGTCAGTTCGTACGCTGAGCACTTGGACTTGCGTGAGTGGAACTCTATTTGGTAAACAAAAACGGGACCACAAAATATTCAGAGGCGTCCAGCAAATTGTTACTTTTCACTGTTAAATATGAACCCATCCCAGAGCATTAAGAGAAAAAACCTTTTGCCCTCCCACCTCTCAACACGCGATAGCCGACAGTACCAGACGACACCTGTGTGAGTTCACGGGTTGGCGTCTTTTCTTGGAAAGGGACAGATGTCAGGTTCCAGTGACTTTGGGTCTTTTTGTTTTGGTTCACACAGGAAGGTGTAGGCGAGGAAGGCTTTGGCACTGCTCAGTTTGAATTATTGGGAGAATGTCTTTCTAAAAATGCCTTGTTTCTCTTGTTTGTAGGTGTGAACGATGTTTATGTTCTTAGATAACCCTGGATGAATCAATCCAAGGGTTGGATTTTGGCATTTGAATCCATTTGAACCCGACAGCCCAGTGACTTGCATTAGTAGGTTAGAAAAGAAGTGGGGTCAGTGTGGGATCACAGAGCGGGGGACAAAGTGGGACTGGCGTGTGCTGCCCCTGTGATGTGAGGGGCGTGGTGGGTGTGTCTGGGGTTCTGCTTTCCCGCTACTGCCATCCTAGGATTGTATTTTGCCACCATGGACAGGTGAGAGCCCGGAGACTCAAGCAAGGGCAACCAGCCTGGCCAAGGTCTCAAAGCCAGTGCAGAGAAGAGCCCGAGCCGAAAGCTGTGCTGGACTTCAGGCTTACACTTTTTATTTTTATGTTTAATGTTTTTTTCTTTATTGATGTTAGAGAGAGAGAGAGGGAGAGATAGAAACATCAGTGAGGGAGAACATTGATCAGCCACCTCCTGCGTGCCCCCCACTGGGGTCGGGCCCCACAACCTGGGCATGTGTCCTGACTGGGAATCAAACAGGTGACCTCTTGGTGCAGGGTCCATGCTCAACCACTGAGCCACACCGGCCAAGTGAGGCTCACGCTTTTTATGTCACGTATTAAGAATTCTCAGCTACGGGTGGAGGCCTGCATTTAGAGGTGAGTGGTGAGCTCTTTCAGCTTTGGCCTCTTTCAGAGTAAACTTATACCATTCTGTTGAACTTATACACGGTTTCACTACAAAAACAAATTTATAACTGTGAATGGAGTATTACTTTTGGGTCGTATTTGGGTTATCTAGTTGATTTATTTTGCGTGACAAAGTTTCACTCCCAGATTGCTATCTCCTTTGCTCTAGGGATGTTTCTTGCCTTTTGCATATAAATGTTACCATTTCCTTAACTATAAAGATATTAAGGAGATAAATATAATTATCCTTCCTGTTGGCGGTTTGACTCTCTTGCCCCTCTTCTGTTCTCCTGCGTACTCAAATTTCATAGCATGTAACACTTGTCTGTGAGACTGTGAGCTCCCTGATGGCAAGATTTAGTGTTGTTCGTTCTTGTATCCTTAACAGAATAATACTTGGCATGTGATAGGCATGATGTTAGTCATGGGTCTTCCGCGTCTCCAGGGCAGAAGCCCAGCCGAGATGGCACGTGCACGGCGGGAACTGACCGGCTTGCTAAGCGGAAAGTCCTAGAGTCGGCGGCTTTGCAGGCACCGTGGGTCCGCGGCCGCAGGCCTCCGCGGGGCTGGCTCGCCGGGTCTCCTTTTCCTCTCTGCAGGTCTCAGGCTCAGGCCCCTTCCTGCCCTGTTGCTAGCATCTGTTCTTATTTTTATTTATTTTTTTATCCTCACCTGAGGACATTTTTTTCATTTTTTGTTCAGATAGAGTGGGAGGAAGAGAGAGAGAGAGAAACATCGACGTGAAAGGGACACATCGAGTGGTTGCCATCCACACGACCCAACCAGGGCCGGGGACAAACTGCAGCCGAGATACATGCCCTTAGCGGGAACCGAACCCGGGTCTCTCAGGACCACAGGCCGACGCTCTAACCGCTGAGCCAAACCAGCCAGGGCCCACCTGTTCTTTATGTCTGTCCAGAGTTGGCCAGTCTGCAGACCCTCCTCTATCACTGCCCATTCCTGGCCCACCTTGCCCAGTTCCACAGCTTCAAACTCCTAAGTTGATGGTTTCCAGGTGGACGTGTGTGGCCTTGTCCTCTCGCCAGAGCTCCAGGCTTACGTGCACACACCTTCCTATTGCATGGTTGTAATCGACACCTCCCACCTCCCAGGACTGTCCGTGTCCCCACCCTCAGAGCCCGCTGTCGCTCGGCCAGTCTTTCCTGGGTCAGTGAGCACGGTCACCGCTCACCCCGGGGGAGGCCGATTCCCTGCTCAGGCCCTGAACCAGAGTCAGGCTCGCTGCTCTTACCCTCCCGCACACATCAGCCCTGTCTGCTGACCGAGTCCCCAGGTCACCTGCTTCCCCGTCTCGGCCCTGAGCTTGAGGCACCAGCATCGCTCACGGAGACAGATTACTGCCGAACTTTCTCACTCACCTTTCTGCCTCTCCATGTGCCCTCTTAATCCCCACACAGTACCCAGGGTGACCCTGACATTTGCCATAGAGCTTGCCACTCGCTTGCTTACATAAATCACGCAGTGGCTTCCCATTTCACCGAGGAGCAAACTTCAAAGTACTTGCCATGTCCTGGCTCCTGACTGACCTCTCGTTTTATTTCTGACCACCTTTTCCCTTGCCTGTTGCGTCCACCTGGTCTCGCTGCTGCTCTTGGAATGCCTCGGGTTTGTTCCCCGAGCCCCGGCACCTGCTGTTCTGCTTGCACCGCTCTTCCTGGGGCTTCGCACGGCCTGCGCCAGGTCTGCGCTCGCCGGAGACCTTCACGGCCCTGTGTCAGAGTGTCCCTCCGCACCTGCACCTCTTCACTCTCCTCTGAGCCTTCTCTAACAGCACTCATCGTCGCTGAAACTCGTTGCTTGTTTGCTTGTTTGCTTGTTGGGGAATGTAGGACTAGCCCCACAGTGCCCTGTAGTTGGTCGTGTGAGTGTGTTGGCAAATTAGAGTCCATGGGCCAAATCCAGCCCGTGGCCTGCTTTTATAAATACACTTTTACTGGCACACAGCCATGCTCGTCAGTTTATGCATTGCTGGTGGCTGCTTTCATGCTACCGTGACAGGCCGAGTGGCAGCGACTTTGGCCCACATAGTCCTAAATATTTACTGCTGGGCCCTTGGT